AAAACAAAAGTAAAAGAAAAAAGTGAGAGGAAAAAAGAAACAAATAGGTATTAAGACACTTCTTGGCCATTCAAACCTACCTTGAGAAATCCATAGTGCTAGAAATCAAAGAGTGGATGCTTACCAAAGGAATGGAGATTCATGTGTTCTCTGGAAGAAACTCTCTTGAGTGATAAAAAGCATTCTGTATCTTGACTGGGTTCTGGTGACTTGGGCATATAGGTCTGACAAAACTCCTACAGTGGTATACTTAAAATCAGTGCATTTCACTGTAAGTAAAATGTTACCTCAGTACGGTACTTCAGTAAGAATAAATTACTCTGAGCAATGTCTGGAAGCCATGCTGTATGCAACTTTAAGATTTCACACACGACAAGTTAAAAAAGGCCAAAATGCTCCAGCCTAGTGCACAGATGGGTTAGCCCCACTGCAGCCTCGGCTCAAATGCTGCCTTCTCTGTGCGCCTGCCCTGACTCACCAGGTGGACTCGGGCTGCCAATGCCATCACAACGCACCGGATGAACTTCATTATCTGACGGCACTGCTGGGTTTGTCTGTGCATCTGCTCATGGGGGCTGCCTCTCTTTGAAGGTCCAGGTAAGGGCTAAGAATTTGGTGACTGAATCTATAATCCCGGCAAGTGCCTGGCACACAGTAGGCACATAGTAGGTATTTTTGAGATGATAAATGTAAGTCCCCGTGAGGGAAATCATCAAGTGGAGGACAGTAGAGTAAGGTGACTCAGGAAGAGGGTTGAGGTAGAAGAGGAAATGCTGAGTAAATAGACAAGTACACACTGGCATGCAGATGAAGACACATCCTGTAGCAGGTCCCAACCAAACAACTACAACCAATAAAGCTTAAGACACTGAGGCAAGTTTCCACTGGAAGAAGAAATGAGTTCTGGTCCTTAAAATCCTATTTTGTAATGTTGTTAAGGTTACAACTTTATTCATACTTTTATTCAACAAGCGTGCCAAACACTCAAGCAATAAATAAGATACGATTCCTGCCCTCAGTTAGCTCATAGACTAATATAGAAAAATGAATAGAACCACAAAATGCAAAAAGAGAGATTTATGTAAGACAGGAGAGAAAGGAATGCATGAGGCTGGAGGTTTGGCAATTTCAGGAAGGCTTCACATAAAGGTTGATTTTAGCCCAAGTATGGAATAATGAAGAGGTGTTCACTAGGTTACAAGGAATAACAAGTATTCCATCCATACAAAAACGCAGAGGTGACAAAACTGCATTCTGTGCAAGGAGAAACACAAGCAACGGATTAGGGAGCATTTGTTGCTCTACCACCAGCATCCATTTAACTGGCACAACCACCAGGGGAGATTAAGAGGAAAAACCTGAGACCTACAGGATTTAAATATCAGAGCCCAGACCAGGCACAGTGGCTCACACTTGTAATCACTACGGTAAATACTTGTTAAAAATTGTAGTGTTACAAAGCAATTCTTACGCTAGCTGCTGCAGCTAAAATCACTGGAAGACTCAGAGTACAAGTCCTTCACATGCAACCCTTTAAAATGATTTTAGCTGCAGCAGCTAGCGTAAGAATTGCTTTGTAACACTACAATTTTTAACAAATATTTACCATAGTGTCTTAATATCTGTTGATTGAAATTATATATAATTACTAAAAATACTTCCATTAGCACCAAAGTCAAAAAAAGTTAAAAGGTGGTGAACAGCACATTCCAGAAGTATAAAACTTGGGGCAGGTGGAGAAACAGACCAATTAGAAGTGAGGAAGGACTCATATTCTAGTGCCAGACTTGGCAATGAGCTCAGGTTGACATCCCTTACCGGGTGACAACAATACCGAAAAAATCCAATCCAGAGATAACAGGAAGGGCAGGTGAGCAGAAAGGTGGTGAATTAAGTTAGCCTGTTCTGCTCCAGCCATAAAAATTACTATTGTATTTGAACCTCAACCTAGATAGCAACATTAACTTACAGACTAGAAAACCGTGACCAGCCAATGCAAAGTGCTACATACCCCAGTTTCAATCTCATTAGTATTTTGTCTGTTTACCACATGGCTTTCAGACGACCCAAAACAGAGAGACAATGGCAACTATCAGGCATAGAAAATTAAAAGGTACTGCAGAAGAGGCCTAAAATTAGAGTCCAGGCTGTATTTTCTACCACTTCATCAGCCACTGCGTAGCCTTGTTAGAATCAAGCTTCCCCTCTGCCTTTGCCTTCAAACCATTACTTGGTTTTAAACTAGTGTTTAATCATAAACCAGCCCTGCTACATTATTAATGTTTCAAACAGCCTTTCCAACCACGTAATAATCCAATATCATTATGTTGAGCTGTCTTAAAGGGTAGCTTTCCTACATTTGTTTTGAATTGCAAAATTGGCATGAGTAGACAAACCAGTTTTTATGTATACTCAAGTATTATAAGTACAATTTGAAATAAATAAAAACAAGATTCATAAAATGATAATAATTGGCAGAATAACCACCAGCTCTTACCTCACTCTTTCTCCTCCACTCTAAAAAATAAACTTTGGTTATGAGAATAAGACATTAGCTACTAAAAATCACAGATAGAAAATGGAAATGGCAAGGAGATGCTGACATGGAGTCCAGTCACCATTCAAAACTTTACAAGGTTATTGGAGTTGACTTTGGGGTATTCAAAGCTGCAGTTGCGAATAAAAGTAGCAGATTATATGTAATACATATAGAATATATAATACATATGTATATATGTACATATATATACAATATATACATTTAAAAACCCTCCTATATTTCAGTAATGTGTAAAGGAATAGGGCAAAATGTAGCACGAATATCAGCAATCCAGAGAAATAATACTTTACAAATACACATTTGAATCAACCTTTTATCTTCAAATTAGGGGTTCTTAAAGAGGTTGCGGCAATGACAGAGTCATTCATCCTGCTTCTTTTGGCAAGAACAGTATTTTAAAATATGTGCTTTGGTGGCAAAGGCAAAGCTGACAAGAGAGAGAAACGTGGACACTGGAGAAACAAAATAGCCCTAACAGTGAGCACGCTGTGGTCATGTCAAATGCCCAGGGTATACTAAAAGTATCTGAACATGTAAATTACTCATATACACACAGTGAAGACAAACATACTGCCTTACTCCAAGTGGGATAAAAAAAACAATAATTTTAATTTCATTAACTACATTAAAAGGATATGACAGTACCTTTAGGAAGATCCAGCTCTAACGATGAATAAAATACATTATAGAGGTGCCAAATCATTGCTGATAAACACCTTTACATAGACTGCGATGAGAGTGAATACAGACCACATGTACTATGCGCAATGATATCTTTTATCACAATACACTTTTCCCCTGTTCACTATATACAAATTTCTTGGAGAAAACCTACATAATTACGAGCAAGCAGGGACAAAAAAGGAATTCATCGTTTTCCAAAATGTGCATAGTAAAAAAAGGGAAGCGTGTGAAATCATTCGTATTCACGTTTCCTGAAGCAAATACAAAGCACGCAGATGCAAACTCCACACAGAAGCCATGTATGGCCAAAACATGTCCCCATGTCTCCCCTTCTCCCTCCCTCAATCCCCAACACTCAAACACAAAATGGCAAGTTTGTTTTCCAAAATTACGCAGAACACACACTGCTAATGGAAAATTACAGTTGGAAGTCTTGGCTTTTCAAAGTTTATGAATGAGAGAAGTTATTTCTCTTAACTATATTGCTGGAATTTTTCCACTCTCATTTCAATTCAAAATAGTGTTTATTCTTCTCTCAACTTCCCATGCCCCTCCCTTCACATCTTTCTAAGTCACCTTCAGACCAAAGTTTCAATCTAAAAAGACACTAAAAGCTCATTCCTTAGACCTCCCTACTGTCCCGTGGGTAATGCTACTCACATTTCACATTCCTTTATTTAGCGTAAGAAATGTAACGTTTAAAGTTTATTCTTTCTTTCCACACATATACGTGTATTTCTTTAAGGAAAAATAAATTATTTTCAATTACTGTTCGCTTTAGAATTCTTAAACATGTTCTTTTTTCCGTGGAATAATCTTTAAGCCTAATTCAAAGTTTTAAATACGTTAACTAAACCAGCACGTGGCATCAATAACTCCTAAATGACTGCAGGGCTGGTGCACGCCCCAATTTTCAGCAGTGGTTCCTGATTCACATCTGCTTGGAAGACTTTTGCCTCGTTTTAAAAGCGTCCGGTAGAATAACAGCTAGAAGTCCTGACATTAACCTTCTACAGATAAATGTAGCCCCAAGGCGTTAATGAAGAGACCCGCTCTTTTTCAGGGGGAAAGAAGGCAATGGAAGATCTTGTCTGTGAGACACAGCTGGGAGGGTAACAACTCTTCAGTGAGTGACCGTAGAATCTCAGTCTCATCAAAGCTGAAAATGAAAAAGCACATGTCCCGCCCCTACCCCCTGGGCTTGGATGCGGCCCCAGAGAAATCACCCTTCCAGGTGGGCCTTCGTGTGTTACCTCCTACACCTGCCCTCCCACCCACCCTTCCTTTCCACTCCCCCCTCCACACTGAATACACTGGCTTCTCAGGTATAAGGTGAGCATCCCCACTTCTAGGCACTCCGAGGGAACGCACCCGAGAGCCCTGGCCCAGCTCTGCACCGCGCGCTCTGGGCTGTGCCCAGCAGAGACGCCCCAGGCGAGCCAGGGCCGACCGCGCTGCTCCTCCCGGACGCGCGGTGCAGACACCCGGCGGGCGAGCGCCCACCTCTGCCCTAGGAAGCCAGTGACACCGTCGGGGGCCAGGGGTTAGGGCAGCGCTAATTTAAGCTGGACATGAAGATGCAGGAGCGGCAGAACCCGCAAAGTCCCCAAAAGTGGACAAGCAAACCAGCTTCTTCCCGCCGGCTGGATCGCCGAGGAAGCTAAAGTGCAGAGTGACCGGGGCTGCAGTCACCTCGCGACGACCTCCCCGAAGCAGTCAACAACCTGCGGAAGGGAGAGCAGTGAAAGGCACTCACCTCCACCCATCTCTGAGCCTCGGCGAACGCGACGGAGCAGTTGGCCTCTGCCTCCTCCAGCCCTTCCATGGCTAGGACAAGAGAGGGAGAGACTCAGTGGATGCGTGGAGGGGCGGGGGTGTCCCCACGCGTCTGGGCCCCACGGACAGGGAGGGCACGCGGGCCGCAGCCAACTCCGGCTTCCGCTCCGGTTGCGAAGGCGCCCGGATTCTCGTTCCCTTTGTTGCGCTGTGCAATTCGTTAAGGTCTCCAACCTACAAGAACGTGAAGACTTGGCTTTCTCTAAACTCCCGAAAGCGACCCAAGGTCCGCGGGGACCCGGGCAGCCAGGCAGGACGCGGGAGGCGAAGCGGGCGCCCGGAGGCAGCGCGCGGCACCAGCCCCGACGACAGTTTGGACTTCAAAAGTCGCAGCGCCGCCGCCGTCCTCCCCGCGGTGGCCCCGCCCCGGCCCACCCCACCGCCAGCCCGGGGCCGGCCGAGTCGCCGCTTCCGTCCGCCCCTCCCGTGGCTCCCCGGGGCTCCCGGCCGCTGCCGCCTCTGCGGTCAGACTGTCTGGTCCGGGAGATGCCACCGTCCGCCAGGGGCCGCGGCCCGCGCCCCGAAGGGACGCGCCGCCGTGCACGCATCCTTCCCGCACCCTCCCGCCTGGCCGCTGCCCTCTCCCGGGCCACTGAGAGCCGCGCCCTCCCTGCTCGCGGCCGCCCGGCCCGCTTGACATACCAAGAATAGCTGCACACAATTGTACCTTTCCCGGCCAAGAAACTTCCCCCGCTGGGGAGCGCGGCCCGCCTCCCTCACCTGAGCCCGGGCCAGCAGAGCCCGCTACCCGCTCTCCCGCAGCGATCCGGCCCCGCCGCCAGGTGCGCACCCTCCCCTCCCACGCTCCCGCCCCCAGCGGCGGCCCGGCCCTCCAGGCTGCAGAGCAGGGTCGTGGCCTTGGCACGTGCGGCCGCTTCCCCACGGCGGAGTCCTGCCCCCGCTCCGCCCGACTTCCAGGTGGGTGCGGTGGAAGGAGGGTCCCTGCCCCTCCACCACGGCTCGCCGCTGAGGGTTCGAGCGAGCGGGAGAGTTCCTTGCATTCCCCACTTCCCGCCCGCTCAGCCCAGTTTAGGCTGTTTGATGATCGCCCTCGCGCTGAGCGTCAAAACTCCCACCATTCGTGGTTTAAGGACACTCAGGGGACAGCGAAGTGGCAGGTTATGCGGTATCCGTAGCGGCCCTGGGTGGGTGTGCAGGGCCGCGGGGCGGGAGGCGCACGGGTCGGTTTGCGTGGGTCCTTTTCACACCAGTGCTCAAATCAGGTCTCCACAAAGGAGTCTACTCATCTGTCTGAGCAACCTGGGCCCTCACTCCGCGCTCCTGAGGCACTATCCAGGCCACAGGTTGATGGCTTCATCTTTGGAGGAAGATAAAGACCAGTTTGTACTCTGCTGAAACTAAAGCAAACCGTTGTTCTTATTTTTCTGGTTGTTTACTTTTTATGAAGAAAAACATTAGATATAGAGCAGAGACTAGTAGAATACTACCTAAAACCTAGCGTCTGTATTTAACAACTATTTGCCTTTTGCCTTATTTATCACCTTTTCTGCTGGAGGGTTTTATTTTTTAATTTTTAAAATTGTATTTACTTGTTTTTGTTTTTTGAGATGGAGTCTCACTCTGTCTCTCAGGCTGGAGTGCAGTGGCACCGTGTCGGCCCACTGCAACCTCTGTCTCCTGGGTTCAAGCAATTCTCCTGCCTTAGCCTCCCGAGTATCTGGGATTACAGGTGCCCACCACCATGCCCGGCTAGTTTTTTTATTTTTAGTAGAGATGGCGTTTCACCATGTTGGCCAGACTGGTCTCGAACTCCTGACCTCAGGTGATCCACCCACCTCGGCCTCCCAAAGTGTGTGTGTGTTTGTTTGTTTGGGGAAGGAGTCTGGCTCTGTCGCCCAGGCTAGAGTACAGTGGCGCTATATCGGCTCACTGCAAGTTCTGCCTCCCGGGTTGACGCCATTCTCCTGCCTCAGCCTCCCGAGTAGCTGGGGCTGCAGGCGCCCGCCACCGTACTTTTTTAGTAGAGACGGGGTTTCACCGTGTTAGCCAGGATACCCTCGATCTCCTGACCTCATGCACCCGCCTCGGCCTCCCAAAGTGCTGGGATTACAGGCGTGAGCCCCCGCACCCCCCTGTTCTTGTTTGCTCTTTAAGTTTTTTAAGAGACAGCTCTGTTGCCTAGGTTGGAGTGCAGTGGCACCATCATAGCTCGCCGTGACCTTGAACTCGTGGACTCAAGCGATCCTCCTGCCTCAGCCTCCCAAGTAACTGCGACTACAGGCAAGTGTCACCACACCCAGCTAATTTCTGTGTTTTTTTGTAGAGAGAAGGGTGTCACTATGTTGTCCAGGATGGTCTCAAACTCTGACCTCAAGCAGTCCTCCCACCTTGGCCTCCCAAAGTGCTAAGCCATCACACCTGGTGGAGAGTTTTAAAGTAAAGATAGGAAATTTCACCCCTATATGGTACCATATACATATCATTTTTAAAAGGACACTTTCCCACTTTGGGAGGCTGAGGTGGGCGGATCACGAGGTCAGGAGTTCGAGACCATCCTGGCCAACATGGTGAAACCTATCTCTACTAAAAATACAAAAAAAAAAAGTTAACTGGACGTGGTGGTGGTACTCGGGAGGCTGAGGCAGGAGAATTGCTTGAACCAGGGAGTCAGAGGTTGTAGTAAGCCAAGATCACACCACTGCACTCCAGCCTGGTGACAGAGCGCAACTCCATCTCAACAAAGAAAAAAAAAGAAAAAAAGACACTTTCCTACATAAACATAATGCTATTTTCACACCTAACTAAAACTAACAATAATTATGAACTCGTATCAAATTCTTCCAACTGACCCAGAAATGTCTTTTACAGCTGACTTACTCAGACCAGGATCCAATCCATGACCACCCATTGCATTCGAGTGCATCTTTTTTAACCCAGAAGAGACTCCTCCTCCTCCACACTCCCCCTTTTTTTGGAATGACAGTGCCTTGTTGAAAAAACCAGACTGTCTTCTGGATTTATCTTAGACTTCTTTGTGGTGTCTTCAACATATTTCTCTTCTCTCTGTACTTCCTGTGCTCTGGAAGTTAGCTCTAAAAGCTAGATTGGAACCTCTCTCTTCTGAGTAAACAGTTCACCACCCACATTCTTCCGGATTGGGGTGATGGTTTTTGTTAGGTTCATTTTTGTTCAGCCACTTTTTGCTGGCACTATCTCTAGTCTGTGGGTCTGTTGTAAAAAGCTGACAAGCAATCTTCAGGAATACAACTGTTCCTGCTGAAAGGCAAGCCACTGACTGAACCATCTCTTCGCCTCTTGGCTACGCCCTGATCAGGCCGAACCCCAAAAGAAAAGGGAACGATGAAAGAAACTGGGAAGATATTTCTCTCTTGTTGGCTATTCAAAAACTTTTAAGTGCAGCGAGGCACAGTGGCTCACGCCTGTAATCCCAGGACTTTGGGAGGCCGAGGCGGGCAGATCACCAAGTCAGGAGTTCACGACCAGCCTGGCCAACATGGTAAAACCCCGTCTCTACTAAAAATACAAAAAAATTAGCGGGGCATGGTGGCAGCCACCTGTAATCCCAGCTACTTGGGAGGCTGAGGCAGGAGAATCGCTTGAACCTGGGAGGGCGGAGGTTGCAGTGAGCCAAGACCGTGGCACTGTACTCCATCCAGCCTGGGCAACAGAGTAAGACTCCATCTCAAAAAAAACAAAACAAAAAACAAAAAAAAAAAACAAAAAAGCCTTTTAAGTAGTGAATACCTCATATGTGCTAGATGTTATAAGTGATACAAAATTTTAAAATTCTAGATGCTGAATCCTATGCACTATTCAGTCCAGTAGGACATTCTGCAAGCTTCACAAGGATTATTATTCTTAGAGTTAATATATACATACATTACACTATTTAAAGCCCCTGCTGTGTAACTAGCTTTGGGGGCGGCAGCCCAGAATGTTAAGAAGTGCACAGCCTTGGGGATCTGAATGCCTTACAATATTAGCAAGCTACCAGAATCACTAAGTTTCCATTTCTTCATCTGAATAATGTGATAATACTTCAAAGGATTGTTGTGAGAATTAAATATGATGGTGGATATAAAAGCCCAAGGCATTGCTTAGAATAGACGCTCAATAAATGAAGGTTGAAGGTTATTTCCCTTTGGTCTCTCTTTCTAACAGTGTGTCACATTTTTCCTACAAAATGGGAATTTCATGTATTTGTTCAAATAGTTATATGGAAAGGCTGGAGGATTTTGCAAATCCTGTTTCAAGTCGGCTCAGGCACCAGTCACTGCTTGGCCTCTTTAATGTTGAAAGTTTGCAACTCAGAATACCTAAATATAATTCTTTGCCTCCTAATATCAGTCATTAGAATGTTTTACCCTTCTGGAAAGATTTATACAGCTCTACAGAGAAACGTACAGCACCTGCCTTAGGAGTTTGAAATGAAATTCACAACAACAAAACATCAAAATTTGTATTTATTTTCCAAAGGAATTTGAGATACCTTTCAATATTTAAAAATGTAAGACAGTACAATTGTCATATATTGATGCATTAGTGATTAACTCTTGATGGGAGAAAGGAGTACAATCTTTCTGGAAGGTCACTTGGCAATAAATATAAAAAGTTTTTCAAATGCCCACACTCTGTCCCAGCAATTCCACTTCTTGGAATATATACCAAGGACCTGAGCAAACATAGATGCACAGAATGAAGTAATGGTATTAGACACAGAGATGCCCCATAGGAGTGTCATAGGAAGACTTGCTTCACAGGAGGACTTGCTGCTCAGCCTTGGAGAATGTGGTCAACAGATACCCCTAGCTATCAGCCCCTTCAGAGTTGACCTCAGCTGCAGAGTGCAGCCTCACCTGAGGTCCTTGCCCTCCCAGGACAGCCCTCATCTGGTCAGTGAATGACAAGATTATAAAAGCCTAGCCATTTCCACCCAATGGGACAACACTCATAGGCCTTTACAGTAGACCCTGGGGTCTGCTGAGGCTGCAGGACTGCACCACAGTTCACCTTCTCCCTCGCCCACACCTGCTCCTTCCCTCTTCCGTTCACAGGGATCTAGCCCTAGTTAATATCTTACACCTCCAATGCCATTTCTGTCAGCTTCTGAGGACTCAACTTGTGATGGCATCAAGCATGACTTGTTAAGAATGAGAATCCCAAAGCTACCAAAACCCCTAACAATAGAGATGGTGGAGTAAATTATGGTTCCTCCATAAAGTGAGATATTGTGCAGTCATTAAGAATGTAAAAAGAGGCCAAGTGCGGTGGCTCACACCTATAATCCCAGCACTTTGGGAGGCCAAGGCGGGTGGATTACTCAAGCTCGGCAGTTCAAGACCAGCCTGGGCAACATGGTGAAACCCCATCTCTAC